CGCTTTGGTTCCTGGTGGGGACTCAGGAATTCACCAAGTCTGGAAGTCCATGACCAACACAAGTTCCTGATTTAAGAAGTTTACTGGGTTTAATAGGTTTGGGACAATAAAATTTGACCCGGTCTCCAAACATTCATGCAGAGATCGGGCTAGGAATTGGGTCAGAGATGGTAGGGAGCTGGGGCTGACGCTGGAGGGCTGAGACGGAGCATAACCTCAGGGTGCAGCCCCTGGGGCTCGCTGCTCTCCGTGAGTAAGGAGGCAAGTATGTGGCTTCCCCGCCCCGCTCTTCCCACAGGCCACCGGGGGCCTGGCAGCTTCCCGATGGTGTTACAGGCCCAGACCTGGCTTTCAGTGCTGCTGACCGTGACGGCAGCATCTTCCTCTCAGACAAAATACGAAATACGCAGACAAAATACGGAGACCTCCGACCCCGCGGAAGCTCGGTGACCGGCATCGGTGCCTCCTTCCTGACTGCAGAGGCGTCTGTCTGCCCCAGGTGCAGGGAGGAGAGGGGAGCTTCTGGCCGCTGAGGAGGGAGAGGAGAGGCGGGGAGTAGGCTTTGGGGCTGCGGGGGCGAGCAGCACATGCAGCTGGCCAGATGCTGGGAACTGTTTGCTAAGGACGCAGCACCCCACTTAATCGGAATGCCGGGATGGACTCCAGAGAATGCCTGCGTCTTCCGGGTCAGTATAACCTAATGTGACCAGACATCCCACTTTTGGCGGGACAGTCCGATTTTTAACAATGTGTCCCGCGTCCCGTGTGGCGTTTTAAAAAAGTCCAAAAGATTTAAAAGATTCTTTCCAAAAATCGGGACTTTTTTTTTTTTTTAAAACGCCGCAGGACGCAGGACACATTGTTAAAAATCGGGACTGTCCCGCCAAAAGCGAGACGTCCGGTCACCTTAGCACAGCCATCGTCTGGAAGGTGAGGCAGCAGGTGGGAATTACAGTTCATAAAGCCCATCCTTCTATCTCTAGCTTCTAGAACGAGGCCTGGCACAGAGTAGGTCCACGATAGACACTGAGTGAACGAACAAAGGGATGAAGAAAAATGCTTTCGTCACCCAAGCACGATCGCATTTAACCTGCAAAGTAAGGCAGGCGTCGCCTTGCTTTGCAGATGGGAGCTGAGACCCAGAGGGTAAGGTCATTTATTCTCCGTACAGCTCCCCGCGGAACATTCTTGGTATAGCATCCTGTGACTCCATGTGAACTTCCTTTTGGGTCACGCCGGTCAGAAAAAGGCCCTTCAGGGGAGGAAGTGGAGGGTATGGGCGGGGAGTGAAAAAAAGGAAAGGAAGACAATAGCCCTTCAGGGGAGGAAGTGGAGGGTATGGGCGGGGAGTGAAGAAAAGGAAAGAAAAGAGACTAACCCTTCAGGGACCCAGTTTCCTGGACGCAGCCTCAGGACTAATTTCCGACCTCCTGCTCCCCCGGGAACACCTGGCACCGGCCTGCTCTGCCGGGGCAGCTCCGGAAAGGGCCCTCCTAGTCTCTGTTGCCACATCTGACCTAGGAGGTCCGGGCCCTGGGACACAGAGCCGGCGGACTGGTGGCTTTCCTCTGGGAGCCAGGAACCGGATGAAGTCACACACTTTCAGTTCCTCATTCTCTCACTCTTGACAGAAGCATCAGACGGCCTAGACCACCGCGCTAGTTCCTGGATCTCAGGCAAGCAACCCACTCGCGTTACACACAGGGAGTGCTTTCCAGGAGTTCGAGCCCAGCGCCCCCGAGTGTTTCTCGAAGGAGCTCTCCGAGGCCAGCTGGCAGGAGGGCTCCCTGAGCTGTCACTTCTTCCATCACCCGGCCCTCTCTTGGGGGCATTCTGTCTATAGCCCCCTCCTCTGGAGGAAGTGAGGTGTAAGCGTAGGAACAAGGACCAAGTTCTAAGAGTCCTTGCTGGCTTTGCCACTCCTCAACTGTATATGTCTCCTCTCCACCTCATTTTTCTCATCTGCAAAATGGGAATGTTTCCTAACACTTCATAAGGCAATGGTGAGTTTATAGAGGAATGATTTGTTGCAAAGTGCTTTTTAGCACAGGACAGAAACAATGCCTGTATTATTATTAAATTTTTATGGCAAAAAAGGAGAGAGAGAGAGAGAGAGAGAGAGAGAGAGAGAGAGAGGAGAGAGAGAGAGAACACTTCCAAAGTGCCTCATAGCTCTCTGTTTCCACTTGTTCACCGATTCATTCATAAGAAAGCACCTATGTGAACAAGGGATGCACAGATGCTGAGGGAGAGACAAAGATAGTTACGATGTAGCTCCTGTCCTTAAAGAATCGAAAGACTGTGCACCAAAAGGTGGACGCAGGGATTTCAGAGAGCTAGAAGGCCACAGCGTGGAAGGGACGTTTTGTGAGGAGTCGGAGGCCCCAGTGTTGTTCAGCCAGGTGAGGAGGCCGCAGAGGGAAGGAAGGAGTAGAGGGCTGTCATACTGGCCGCATAACGGTCGTCCAAGCCTCTTTGTTGGGGAGGAAATGAAGTCATCCTCCTCTCAAAAATCAGCATGACAGCCTCCAGCCAAGTAATCTGGAGTCATGAGAGCTGCCGGGGAGCTCTGTGAATCATGGCAGTCTGCTGGGAATTTCCTGATCACTAGCCTGAGTTTCGGGGTAAGTCCTAAGGCTGCAACGTCCCTATTTACATTCTGATCACGTTTATTTACAATTAATGGATTCTAAATCCAAACAAAACAGGTCACCGTCTTAGAGGAAGCAGCGAGGCCTCTCTGAGAAGCACAGCACCTCTGACTCAGTCCATCCTCCCCGAGGCTGGCAGCTTAGCCGGTTAACCGGGCGGGTGCAGAAAAACTCTCTCTGGAGGACAGAGGATCACCTGCCTTCCTACAGCAGGATGGTTAACTTACACTTTCCGCGGGCCGAGGCTGGCATCGGAGACCTCTGGCCAGAACAGAGCAAAGAGGGCTGGCACTGTCCCTGCCCTCCTCCACCTGTCCCTCTCCAGTGGAGCCACACTCAAGGTCCAGCTTTGCCAGGCAGCAAAATGCTGCAGGTGTAAGAGAGAGAGAGAGAGAGAGAGAGAGAGAGAGAGAGAGAGAGAGAGAGAGAGAGAGAGAGAGAGAGAGAAGAGAAAGAGAGAGAGAGGGAGACCAAGTCTTGGGTGTGGCCTTGGGAGTTTAAGGGAGGGACTCAGAGCTCTCCTCTCCCATCAAGGGGGACAGTCTTGGAGGGTAGGACCCAAGGGACCCCCAAGCCCAGGTCCCCAATACTCAGGGAAAGGGGTGTGTGTTGGGGGCTTGGGGTGTGTGTGAATGAACCCCAGAATCCCCACTGTGCTCCTTCAGCTGTGCCAGAGGGATATGTGCGTGTGCATGTGGACAAAACTCTTTGCCTTCGCACAAGAAGAGCAGGCTGTGCTTTATACATGGTCAGTCTTACTGGAGGTCAGTCTTATTTAAAAAAAAAATATATATATTTTATTGATTTTTTTACAGAGAGGAAGAGAGAGGGATAGAGAGTCAGAAACATTGATGAGAGAGAAACATCAATCAGCTGCCTCTTGCACACTCCCTACTGGAGATGTGCCGGCAACCAAGGTACATGCCCTTGACCGGAATCGAACCTGGGATCCTTCAGTCCACAGGCCAACGCTCTATCCACTGAGCCAAACCGGTTTCGGCTCAGTCTTATTTGACAAGCAATTACTTTATCTTATGAGAAACAATGCCCTGTGATGAAGTAGAACACTAAATAAACATGCATTTGAAAAACCTGTCATTATGTTTTTGGAATGGATGATTTAAAGATGTGTTTTCAAAACCTTAAACAACAGTGTTAAAGAAATCTTCTCTTTCTTGTCCTCCAGTTCCCCACTCCTGTCCTCACAGGTAAAAGGGAACTTCCTGCCCCTCTACAGCTCACTGACCACATCAATAAGACCTTCCTATTCCATTGGGTTTGTTCACTAACTGTACGCTGGCCCAGGCATGTAAATGGGTTGCTCAGGCCCACCGGTGTGGCCCAGTGGCTGAGCTTTCGCCAACGAACCAGGAGCTGAGGATTTGATTCCTCATCAGGGCACATGCCTGGGTTGTGGGCTCCATCCTCTGTAGGGAGTGTGCAGGAGGCAGCGTTTGATGTTTCTCTCTCCTTTCCTCTCTGAAATCAATAAAAATCTATTTAAAACAAAAAAAATTAATAAATGGATTTTTCATTATAGGAACTTCCTGAAAGACCCATCAACACTTCCATAGAAAGAAAGCATCAACAGTGTGTGCCTAAGACTTCATTTTCACAATCCTGCAATATTGTATCACGACCCCAATCTAAACCTGATCAAGCCCTCACTTTCCTTTTTGCTCAATCCCCCGCCAAACCAGCCCTCACGGCCAAAGAATGCCCTTGGCCCAAACTGCAAATTCTCAATAGAATCCGACCTCGCCTTTTCCCCCACCCCCCATCCACCGCCAGCCTCCCTCACCGAGGTCTCAGCTTTGTCGCATCCTCGGGTTGTGTTGATAATTTGGGGGGAGAGCAGGCATTCGACACAAGCATCCTGTGACCACGTGTTTGTCTGTGTTTTCAGCGAGGGCGTGACACGTGCACTTCACACGGAGAAAAAGACTTCCCAGCCATGGACCCTGGTTCCCACGCTGCTGGGCCGGTGGAGGCCCGGCGGGAGGTTGGAGAAGAGCGGACCCAGGGCCCTGGGGGAGGCACCGGAGCTGCACGGGGGTGGTGGTGGGAATGGGGGGCGGGTGGGCATCGGAGCTCCCAGCGCCCCCCCTCTCCGCCTATGGGTGTGTGGGAGGGAGGGTGGGGCTGCCCCGGGCGGCCCGGGCCTGGGGCTGCAGGTGCCTCTGCATCCATCCGCTCAGACCCCGCGTCCCCGCCGCTCGGTCCCCGTGGAGGAGGCGCGGGGTCCGGCGCGGAGGCTCCGGGCGGGGAGGGGAGGGGAGTGGACGGGCCGGGCCGGGCCGGGCCGGGGCGGGGCCAGCGCCTGGGCGGGTCTACATATACAGCCCGCGCCCCGGACAGCTCACAGCGGGACACCGGAGCCCAGCACCGGCCAGCAGCCCCCCGTCCACCGTCCGCCCGTCCGCCGCCCACCGTCCACTCGCCCGTCCACCCGCCCCAGCCGGTGAGTGCAGGCCGCCTGCGGCGCCGGGAGGATGCGCCCCTGCGGCTTCCCTGCCCCCAACCCGGCTGCCCGGCTGCGCCCCGCGTGCCCCGGTGCCCGCGGGTCCGGTGCCCGCGGTGCCCACCCCCTGAGCCCCGGAGGAGAGATGGCCCCGCGGGCTCGCCCCGCAGGTGACCCGGGCCCCGCCCCGAGCGGCCGTTCCCGCCGGCGGCTCCCCTCTCCGCGGCGCCTCTGACTTCCCTTCCCGCCAGGCCGCCGTCTGCCCGAGCCCGCCACCATGAGGGTCCCGCCGGCCTGCCTGCTCCTCTGCGCGCTGGTCCTGAGCAACTGCGAGGTGAGCGGCTTCCCCGCTTTCACTCCCGGCGGGGGAGGGGGCTTGCAGGACCCCCTCCCGGCCCCCGAACAGCGCCAGGGGAAGGCAGGGCTGGTAGGGAGTTGGTCCCCCCTCCCCCCATCCCATCCTCAGCAGGGCCAGACCCTCCGGGGAAAGAGGACAGGTGTGGCCAGGGGGCCTGGGGAGCCAGGGGAGCTCGCGCTTGCAGGCTAGAGAGGAGGAAGAAGCCTTGGGAACGGCCCCAGCCGGCTGCCACCTGATCTGGAAGCTTGCTTGAGTCAATCCACTTCTCTTCTCCGGAAACCTATGATCGATATGATCGATCTTGCATTTGAGGGCTAGTCAGATATTTCCAGGGTGAGGAGGGCGGGAGCTGTAGGGAAGGATGAGTTTTGGGATTGGGGCCGGTTTATCCACACCCTGCGGCCCCAGGGGTGACCTTTGCCCCTCCCCCCGGTCTTTTCCAGGACAGCCACGATCTTCACGCGGAATCGGCTGCGGGTGAGTATCCACCCCTTGCACAATATCTGGCTGCACAAACATCTCGGGGAAGCCTCAGGAGACGGCCCTTCCCTGTCCCTGATGCAGGGCTGGCTCCCCCTCACTGCCTCCTCCCGTGCGCCTTGCTTACCCACCCCCGCCTTTGTCATTTTCAGCAAGCTGTGGCTGTCTGAACGGAGGCACATGTGTGTCCTACAAGTTCTTCTCCAACATTCATCGATGCAACTGCCCGAAGCGATTCCAGGGGGAGCACTGTGAGATAGGTACGGAGATCCTTCCTCTGCCTGGGGGGAGGGGCACAGGAGATCTGGGGCAGGGAGAGAAGGGTAGGATGCCAGAGCAGGCAGGGGGCAGGAGGTGGGGGTGGAGAGGGGGGCATCATCCCTATGCAATGTGATAGACACATTGCATCCTACCAGCACGCCTCCCAGGATGACCTCTGACCCTAACTGACCTAGGGACAGACAGCTGCTCCCTCAGCATCGGGAGGGCAGAGTCAAACACGTAAACACACATTGTCTTGTAAGCTGTGGCTGCACATATGTGAAGTGGGGTGGAAGGAGAGTTTCTAGAGTCTTCTACCAGGCCTGAGAATCACTGAGGCCTGGCATGATCTCCAAAATGCCTGTCTAGCCCAAACCGGTTTGGCTCAGTGGATAGAGCATCTGCCCTGCGGACTGAAAGGTCCCGGGTTCGATTCCCGTTGGGGGCATGTGCCTTGGTTGTGGGCACATCCCCAGTAGGAGGTGTGCAAGAGGCAACTGATCGATGATTCTCTCTCTTCGGTGTTTCTGACTCTCTATCCCTCTCTCTTCCTCTCAGTTAAAAAAAAAAATCAATAAAACATATTTTAAAAAAATAATAAACTAAAACGCCTGTCTGAACCTCCTTCTCTTCCTGATCGTCTCTCATCCTCACATCCTTCCACAGATACGTTGGCAACTTGCTACCGGGGAAGCGGTCTGACTTACCGAGGGAAGGCCAACACCGACCACATGGGCCGGCCTTGCCTGGCCTGGAACTCTGCCAACGTCCTTCAGAATGAGTACCACGCCCACAGGCCCGACGCCCTCCCGCTGGGCCTGGGGAAACACAACTACTGCAGGTGAGGTGGGGCCTCACAGAGCCCTTCTGAGCTTGCCCTGGCGCTTCCAGAGTGCTGGCCGTCACCGGAGAATAATAGCAAGGCCCCTGGCTGAGTCTTCCCTGGAGGGGAGGGGGCGGGAAAGACGTTCTGTTGACATGACACCCCTCTCCCGCCCTGTGTTGCCAGGAACCCGGACCACCGGAGGAAGCCCTGGTGCTTTGTGCAGGTTGGCCTGAGGCAGCACGTCCAGGAGTGCGCGGTGAACGACTGCTCTTTGCGTGAGTGCCACCGGCCTGCGTAGGACAGCGGGTGGGAGGGGGCGCATTCGTGTGTCCTCTGATCCCATCACAGGCAAGGTGACCAGACGTCCCGCTTTTGGCGGGACAGTCCTGATTCTTAACAATTTGTCCCGCGTTTTAAACGCCGTGGGACGCGGGACAAATTGTTAAAAATCGGGACTGTCCCGCCAAAGGCGGGACGTCTGGTCACCTTAATCACAGGAGGGGTGAGGATGGAGGCCTGCCTGGCCCCCCCAAAGCTGGGAGGTCAGAGGATGAGGAGGGGGGACACTGTATCCTACCTATCTTTCCCAAGACATCCCTCCCTCCCTTTCTCCTCCAGGAAGGAATCCGCCCGCCAAAGCGGAGTTCCAGTGCGGCCAGAAGGCCCTGCGGCCCCGCTTTAAGATTGTCGGGGGAGAGCCCACCAGCATCGAGGACCAGCCCTGGTTCGCCGCCATCTACAAGAGGCAGCGCGGAGGCTCTGTCACCTACATGTGCGGGGGCAGCCTCATCGGCCCCTGCTGGGTGGTCAGCGCCGCGCACTGCTTCATGTACGTCCCTCTGCCTCTTCTCCCCGGCCCTCCTGCCGTTCCCCACACGCGTCCCTTTCTCCTCCCCTGGCAAAGGATGCCCCTCTCGTTCTACCCTCTCAGCCCCTTCATGTGGCCCATCGCCCTGGGGACAAGTCACGCTCCACAATGTGTCTATCACATCACATGGATGATGCCCCCCCACTCCACCCCCACCTCCTACCCCCTGCCTGCTCCTGCATCCCACCCATCTCTGCCCCACCCAAGACCGCCTGTGGGGTCGCGGTGGTGGGGAGGGCGTGGAAGTGACGGGCCTCCTTTCCCACAGTAATCACCAGCAGAAGCAGGACTACATCGTCTACCTGGGCCGGTCCAAGCTCAACGCCAACACGCCGGGGGAGATGAAGTTCCAGGTGCAGACGCTCATCCTGCACGAGGACTACAGCGCGGACACGCTTGCTCACCACAACGACATCGGTGAGTGGAGAACCCTCCCCTGCCGTCACGAGGAGGACCCGGAGAGGAGGAGGGGTTCAAAGAGAGACACAAGTGGGAGATTGAGGTGGAAGGCAAACCTGAAGACTCTACTTGACAGAGGGAGCGGTGGCGAGGGGGTTGGGGGCTCCCCTGTAGAGCCCTGAATTTCCTTCCAGCAGGTAGCCAGCCCGGGTGGCAGTGGCCCTGTGGGCAGTGGCTTAGGCTGGGATGCCCCTGCCTTTGTTGGAGGCAGACTCTGACCCAGGATAGAAAACTCAGGCAGAGCATAGGGCTGGATGTCAGCCCAGCTACCTCAGACAGGGCTTTCTGTAGGAAAAACACACACAAAACAACCTCTCCTCCAGCTGTGTGCAGGAGCCCTGGCTGCCCGCGCCTTTGGCAGTGGCTGGAACAAAGCTCACGAGGCGTGAGATAAGGGAAACTTGCTTCATTCCTACGAGCACACTTCCTCCCAGGATGACCTCTGACCCTAACTGGCCTAGGGATAGACAGCTGCTCCCTCAGCATTGGGAGGGCAGATAGGGTGACCGCCTGACCAGCTGGTGATCTTTCCCCTCTGACCTCTCCCTCCTTCTCCCCTCTCCCAGCCTTGCTGAAGATCACTTCCGACTCTGGCGAGTGTGCACAGCCATCCCGGTCCATACAGACCATCTGCCTGCCCCCGATATACGGAGATGCTCGCACTGGCACAAGCTGTGAGATCGCCGGCTTCGGAAAAGAGAACATCTGTAAGTGACCTTCGGGGCTGGCTGAGGGGTCCTGGGGGAGGGCTGTCACCTGGAAGTGAGCTCCGCTTGATGAAGGGAGGATGTGGAGGTAGAGAAGGAGCATGGGGAGGTAGCAGGTGGGTCCAGAGAAGGCGTGGGGATCACTGTTTAGGGAATGATGCACCGTAACGGTAAATGAGTGGAGGGGGAGGGGCTATCTGACGGCTCAGATTAGGGTGGGAGGAGAATAGGGGCTTTCCCCAGTAGGAATACGTTTTGGTCCCCTCCCTGGCAGAGTCCCAGAAGAGAAGGGCTGGGCAGACACATCGTAAGGTAACATTCTGCACGTTTCTCCCATCTAGCCGACTATATCTATCCAGAGGAGCTGATGAAGGCTTCTGTGGAGCTGATTTCCCACCGGCAGTGTCAACAGCCCCACTACTATGGCTCTGAAATCACCACCAGAATGCTGTGTGCGGCTGACCCCGAGTGGAAGAGAGATTCTTGCAAGGTGAGCGTTCTAAGCATTTCCAGCCAAAGCCCCAAGAAGCCAGAATCAGGAGCTCAAGTTTTAGGCTCAGACCAATGCTTACGTTTCTACCGAACTCTTGTCAGCTGGTCTCTGTGCTAGGCACTTCAGATGCGGGGAGAGAGGAGGACGAAGAAGAAACAATAGAAAATAACACCGCTCAGTGTTCGGAGTGTGGCGTTCATTATAAAAGACCAGATGTTTAGGCGAGGGAGCTGAGTGGCCATGAGATGGTCACGGAGGGGAGGCTGTACAGGGACTGGAGGAGGCAGAGGGGAGGGAGAGCATGTCAGCTGCAAGATACAGAAACGAGAGTGAGCACAGCACATTCCAGGGCGGGAGAGAGACGGGGTCTGGGGATATAGGCGGAATGGTGGCAGATAACGGGGCTTTGAAAGCCAGCCAGAGCATTTTGAACTTGGTGCGGGAGGAAATGGGGAGTCACTAAGGACGTAGACTTTGGAAAGCTCTCCCTTCCCTCTGGGGTATGACTGAGGAGTAGGATCTGACGGCCCCCTTCCTAACTTCTTCCAGGGGCTCACTTTCTGTGTTTTTGGTTCAACAGGGAGACTCAGGGGGGCCCCTGGTCTGCCCCGCCCAAGACCGCCTGGTTCTGACTGGGATTGTGAGCTGGGGCAGTGACTGTGCCATGAAGGACAAGCCGGGTGTCTACACGAGGGTCTCCCGCTACCTGTCCTGGATCCGCACTCACACCGGGGAGGAGAATGGCCTAGCCTCCTGAATGGCCCGGCCCTCTGGGGGCCCCCCGGGAGCCACAGAGGAGAGCAGCGGAGAGCAGCGGCACCCAGCTCCCACACTGACCGGCATTTCTGCAGCAGCTCTGTCCGCACCAGCCACGTATAAGCAAGGGGCTGAGGAAGAGAGGCTCTGCAGAGGTGGTTTTGCTTGTGCTGCCCACCAGGGTGAGCAGCAACGGCTTTATCCTCAGATTCAGGACTGGGTGCTGGATGCCCAGGTCCCCTCTGGCCAGGATGGAGGGGTGGTCCTGACCCAGGATGGTACTGACCAGTAGTCTGTTTTTTGTGTGTGTTTTTTGTTTGTTTGTTTTGTTTTCTGGAGATAAAAATGACATCTCCTATGCTTGGGAAGGAGAGGTAGCTCCCCTAACAGAGGACATTCGTGAGGCCTAGTGTTGGGACATGAATCATTTCCCAATTAGGAAGTGCAACAGAACTGAGGTCTCTTGAGGGAGCTTGGCCAATGTGGGAACAGTGGTTGGGGGAGCAGGGACGTTAATAACTTGAGGGCAGGGCGCTGACATTCCATGAATGTATCAGGAAATATTATATATGCATGTGTACGTTTGCACACCTGTGCTCGGGCTGTGAGGAGTCAGAATGAGTAAGAGCTGGTGTTCCTGTGTCTACGTCTAGATATTTCCCTAAACTGTATGGACTATGAAGCCACATATGACCTGTCAGGAGAGGGCATGGGCCGTTCCTGGCACCTCTTGGGTCTCCCGTGCGATGAAGCCTATGAATGCATCATTCTGGGCAGGGCTCGTGACCAGCATTAAAATTTCAGTTTCACTATCACTTCACTGTCCCTTCCTTGGACACTTATCCCTTCTGACCTTCCAGCCAAATGCATCCCGATCCTCACTGAGTGGGGTGAGGACCACTCCTGTGTACACTGAATATTTAATGACATCCTGCTATTTTTATTTATATCTATTTTTATAATTTTGAATAAAGATGATTAATAAAATGTGATTTTTTTCCTAAAGACTTTTGTTCTTCCCTGGTGTTGGTGTGGGAGAGCGTAAAAAGCAGAACGTGGCCTTGGCGGCACGTACCCCAGAGTTTCTTTTGGGGCTGCATCTGTGGAGTTCGTGGGGCGTTGGGACGTAGCTAGGGGAGTTCTAGGTTAGGCCCTCCACAGCATACAGGCACAGGAGGAGCTGTGAGCCAGGGCCCCACAGTCTGGTCCATGGTGTGCAGGCTGGGTATCAACCCAGTGCCTTCCCTAGCCTGATGCTTTTGCGCAGTGCACATCTTCTATAACTATGTGTGGTGATCCTCTTTAGTATTAGTCTCTTCACTCTGCCCCCAACAACCCCAGGGCTGACCTCAACCAAGCAGAACACCTGTCTGAGTGAAAATTATTGATCCAAAACCCAGCTTAGCTCGAGTCTGTCGGCATTCAGGGAACGGAAAACATAACTGCCCGTTAACTGCGGGGCTAGTGCTGAGTGTTCTCAATGTGCTAATGGAGCTCACGACCTGCCATTGCTATTCTTACGATCGGGCGGCTCAGAGCCTGACACTGGTTGGTATCCTAATGGAGGTGAGCAAATGTTTTGAACCAAATATCAGCTTTTAAAGAACGAGAGCAGTGGTCGGCAAACTCATCAGTCAACAGAGCCAAATGGCAACAGGACAAGGATTGAAATTTCTTTGGAGAGCCAAACTTTTTAAACTGAAACTTCTTCTAACGCCACTTCTTTAAAATAGACTCGCCCAGGCCGTGGTATTTTGTGGAAGAGCCACACTCAAGGGGCCCAAGAGCCGCCTGTGGGCCGTGAGCCGCCGTTTGCCAGCCACGGAACTAGAGTATAGAAGGCAGGCTGGGAGGCAGGGTTGGATGCCCAAATACTGGAGTTTCCAAGCGATGCTAATGGGTTTGGCAGCGTTTCTTACCCAAGTCACCTGAGAGGCTTTTAAAAAACATATGCATGCCTATATTCCACCCACAGAGACTGAGCTGCAGGTCGGGGCTGGTGCCAGGCTCCGCGCCTTTGAAGAGCTCAGGTGTTTCCGATAAGCATCCTGAGTGGATGACTTTGGGGAACAATCGGCCAGACTGCGTGAAGCGCCCAGTAAATTCAAGATGTGGCCAGCATGTGTCCCCTGCACAGTCAGTTTTCTGCATGGGGTGTGGGGGTGCCAGGTCTCCTGGGCTCCCGAGGGCCCCGGGAGGGCAAGGGCCCAGAGTATTCAGCTTTTTGTCTTTGTTGTTGGAAAGTTGGCGGACACCTTTCTTGCTCTGGGGGTGCAGGGTGCTCAGGAGCTCTTGGTGGGCGGTGCTTCCTCCTTACCCTCGCGGGCTTCTGGCTGCACAGGGGCGGCCGGCCCTGCACATGGCGGCCATGGGCCGATGCAGCGGTACTTGCTCCTGTAGATCAGGTGCCGGGCCCTGCGTTCTTGTGGATGGTGGTCTGCATGTGGGAGGTGGCGGCTTTCACTACCTGATTCTCCACTTCATGGCGAACGCCACACCTTTGCCCTGGGCCGCAGGCTCCACGCCCACTGTCTTGCGGTGAATCACACTGTTGTAGCCAAAGGAGCCGCGGGCCTTCAGATTCAGATGATTGGGTTCGGTGCTGTCCGTCTGCTTGTTGCTCTTTTTTTGTTTTTAAAATTTTTTTTTTTTATTTTTTACAGAGAGGAAGAGAGAGGGATAGAGCGTTAGAAACATCGATGAGAGAGAATCGTCGATCAGCCGCCTCTTGCACACCCCCTACTGGGGATGTGCCCGCCACCAAGGTACATGCCCTTGACCGGAATCGGACCCGGGACCTTCCAGTCCGCTGGCCGACGCTCTATCCACTGAGCCAAGCTGGTTTCGGCTCCTTGTTGCTCTTGATCAGGAAGCTGGCAGACCATCCACTGCAGGTGGAAGAAAAGCGCCCAAATAGTCAGTCTTGAATCCCCATAACCGAGCACGCTGTCTTATTCGGTATGATGCAGTGGCTTCAGAGTGTGGGTTTTGGAGTCCGGGGGCTGGGACTAGAATCCTGGCTCTAACGCTAGCTGTGTGACTTAGGAAAGAATCTTGACCTCTCTGCGCCTCTGTTTCCTCTTCTGTGAAAGAGTTGATACTATCTACCTCCTGGGATGATGACAAGGATTCATGAGCTCAGAAATCTCCCAGCAGAATCCTGGCACCTACTAACGGCACAGAAATGGTGGCTCTGATCACAAAGCCACGTAACTTCTTGTGGAGCTGAACGGACCCCACCCCCCTCACCACCCTAGGATGCACTGGGGTGTTCTGTGTGAGCTGACATTTGCTAGGAAAGGGAAGGCGTGCAGTGTAGTGAAGGGGCCCAGCCCAGACTGAGTTGCCGCTCAGCCTCTGCACTCACCCCCAGGGGCCGAGGAGATCCTGTTCCAACATGAGCAGCGCTAGCATCAGGGCTCACAGACTCCGAAAACAGGAAGTGTGAGCTCCACGGGCTGGATTGAGCAATGACAGGGCTAACTCTGCTCAGACGGTTTCCCAGCCACCACCCGACCCCCAGCCAGCTGCTGCCTCTTCCCCGAGACGTGGGCGTCACTCAGGGCTGGCAGACATCAGCGACTCCTCCACCACCAGTTTCACGGCTCCCGACTCTACCCTGCCCCGCACTGTAGGCACTGCCTTCTTCCCGTGCTCGCCTTGCACTGGACACTGAGTGAAGTTCTTTGCATGGTATCTGGTTTAACCTCACAAAAATCACAGAAGGAAGGTGTGATCACTGACCCCATTTTACAGGAGAGAAAATGGAGGCACAGAGAGGTTGAGGGACTTGCCCAAGGCAATGCAGCTGGCAAGTGGCAGAGCCAGGCAGCGGTCTGCAGAGTGCCCACGCCAAGCACGGTGACATCTGACCTGTCAGCAGGCCCAGCTGAGGAAAGGAGAGTGGCCCTCCTTCCGAGGTCCCTCCTTCAAGGATGCTGGGGGGTCCTGGGTAAGTGTGTCCGGATTTCACCCCCCTACCTGGATTATAGTCCTTTCCTCTTAAAGGAGACCACACGGAGCCACCAGTTTCAAAGGAAAACCACCTTCTCGAGCCAACCTCAGCCTTTTTTGTTGAAACCTGATTTCATTGAAGTGGTTTCCGTTTTCACCAGAACTCCTCCTTCGGAAATGTTCTGTAGGCCATTCCATTATCGGGACTCAACTTGATTTCCACTTATACTCCGTTCCTCAGACCAACCTTCCACAGCAGCCACATCCCTGCGTGCACCCTCCAAACCCCTCCCAGTGTGTCCGCCTTCTTTCCCAGCGGAAAACATTTGAGCCTTCCCTTTGAACCGGACACAGTGAGAGCTATTTTTAAAATAACAGTATTATGTTTTAAATTTTAAAATAAAATAATTCAAAAACTCCCCCCAAAACATTATTTGCCCTGGCTGGTGTGGCTCAGTTGGTTGGGCGTTGTCCCCTGCACCCAAAGATTGCTGGTTCAGTTCCCGGTCAGAGCACATGGAGGGATTGTGGGCTCAATCCCAAGTAGGGGGCGTGCAGGAGGCAGGCTATTGGTATTTCATTTTCACATGGATGTTTCTCTATCTCTCCTCTCCTTCCTCTCTCTCTAAAAAAATCAATGCAAAACAATAAAAAAACAACCCCACAGTATTATTGAGATATAATACACTTGCCAAAAAAACTCACCCATTTAGTGTATACAACTCAAGATTTGTAGCATATTCACAGAGTTCTGCAACACTCACCACGGTCAAGTTTAGAACATTTTCATCATCTCGAAAAACAAACAAATAAACCCCTCAGCAGCAATTCTCTTGTTCTCTTCAATCTCATCGCCCCCTAAATCTACTGTCTCTCTAGTTTTCCCATTCTGGACATTTCATACACATGGACTCATATACTATGTGGTCTTTTGTGACAGATTTCTTTTACTTCCCATGATGTTTTCCAGTTTCATCCATGTTGTAGCATGTATCAGTCCAGTTGCTGAGTTTTAAGTAGCACATTGGGAGAAAAGATAACCTAGGTCCCCTTATGACCTTGCAGTCCCTTTGCGATTCATTCAACAAATCTTAAAAAAAGAAAAAGTTTAGACATCTAAATATCAGGTACTCTTAGACACTGGAATACAAAAATGTGTGGGACATAGTCCTAGTTCTCTGGGAGCTCACACCTTTGTGAAGGAGACAGAACCATGACCGCAATCCAAGGTGATAAATGTGATAATAAAAGCATGTGTCCCTGCCGGGACCGGTTTGGCTCAATGGATAGAGCGTCGGCTTGGGGACTGAAGGGTCCCAGGTTCGATTCCGGTCAAGGGCATGTACCTTGGTTGCGGGCATATCCCCAGTAGGGGGTGTGCAAGAGGCAGCTGATCAATGACTCTCTCTCATCGATGTTTCTAACTCTCTATCTCTCTCCCTTCCTCTCTGTACAAAATCAATAAAATAAAAAAAAAAAAAAAAAAAAAGTATGTGTCCCTGACTGAGAAGCTCAGTTGGCTGCCTCTAGTGGGATTGTGGGTTTAATCCTTGGTCAGGGCACATACAAGAATCAACTAATGTAAGTGGAATAACAAATCAATGTTTCTTTCTCCCTTTTTCTCTATTAAAAAAAGAAAAGAAAGTATCATCTTGGCCGGGGTGGCTCAGTTGGTTGAGCATTGTCCCATGCGCCATGCGGTCACTGACTTCTTTCCCGGGTTGTGGCTCTGATCCCCAGCAGGAGCATACAGAAGGCAGCTGAAGGATGTTTCTCTCTCTCCCTCCCTCTCTCTCTAAAATCAATACAAACATGCCCTAACCGGTTTGGCTCAGTAGATAGAGCATCGGCACGCAGACTAAAGGGTTCCAGGTTCCATTCTGGTCAAGGGTGTGGGGGTCCCCAGTAGGGGACATGTACGAGGCCGCTGATCAATGATGATTCTCTCTCCTCATTGATGTTTCTGTCTCTCTCTCCTTCTCCTTCCTCTCTGAAATCAATAAAAATATGTTTAAAATAAATGAATAAAATGGTTATG